GACATAGTCTATTAATTATATTTTTATTCTGATTGAGCCATTTCCTGTTTCTCTGTATGACTTATTTTTGGTCAAACATTGGACATTTTAATCTAATAATGTGGTAACTGTGGAAATCGGATTATCCCCCTTCCCCAGGGTTTTCTGGGGGTTTTTTTAGAAGCATGTGTTATTGATTGTTGCAAGCTGTCTGTGTGCTGAGGACCGGCCTGAGGTGTAAACTTGAGGTCTTCTTATGTCTTTTCTAAGCCTTTACCTGGGCATAAATGGTTACTTTCTAATTTCCCCCCATATATTCAGTTGCTTTTGATTGTCTTAGTCTTTAATATCTGGATCCTAAATGGAGAAAAGTGAAAAATGAAGAGGGAAAGAAGCTCTGGCCCTATAAATCCCTTAAAAATTACTTCAGCTGAAGGGGAGGTGCTTGTGACAATGGGGGGAGGTGCAACAAAAATGGCTGGCCCTTTCTTTTTCTCTGCCTCTGTAATCAGAACATGCAATCAGCAATCAAAGCACAGGTCCCCAGTATATGGAGGACAGGGTCCTCTTTGCTCACCCTGGCTCACACATGCTGTGTGCAAGCTCTCCAGGAATATATGCACAGCTGCCTGTCCCAGGGGTGGGGTTGGGTAGCTGCTACTGTGCTAAGAGCTGAAACTGACTGAAGCTGACTGCAATTTATCCTCCAAGCCTTCAACAGATTCTAGAGTTCCAAACCAGTTACATCAGATAAATTCTGTCAGTGCAGTTGTTTTCCTGGTTGGAGATAGATTCCCAGTGCTTTCTGCTTGGCCATCTCTCAGGATCCTCCCCACAAATCTTTCACAGACAATCGTGGCATATACATGGATTCCAGGGTATAGAATCCATCGCCTCTCAGGAACTGAGGCCACAGATTGGGAAGACTGGACCTAAATAAAAGAATGGCACGTTCCACTCTCTCCTAGCTGGAAACTGCCTTTATGTATCTTCCTATCCTCTATGAGACCCTGGAACTAACTCACCCTTCAAACAAGATTCAACCACAAGGTTATGGCCCTCTGTTGGCAAAACTCAGTGGGAGAACCACTGCAAGAAAATGATCTTAGGATGCACAAATCGATGAAATTAGTCCAAATAATCCTAAGGTCACCTAATGCAGTTTTGCAGTTTCCCAGTCCAGAAATAGAAACCGAAATTAACTGGAAAGTCGCCTCATCTTTATTGGATCACTTAGGTAAGTTGGGCTCCAACTACAATATAATACATATTTCTTCTTCATTTTCCTCTTCTCCTATTCCACACTAGCAAATCCCTGAAAATTACCCAAAAAAGACCTCTCTGACACTCAGCTCACAAGAACACCCTGTCTCCTACTCACTCAGCTCTTCACTGAATGTTCTTCGGTGAGCTTCTCTGGTCTTTTTTTTTTTTCCAACTTTTAGAATTGTCTCTTTTTCTATGTAAATATTCATGAAATACTCAAATCACTACATTGAACATTTTCATCATCTCAGAAATTTCTCTTTACTGTTTTGCAGCCAAAGTCTCTGTCTCTCTCTCTTCTAAGGTAACTATTGTTCTGTTTTCTGTCCCCATTAATTAGTTTTATGTTTTTGGACCTCATATAAATGTAATGATAGTGATCTTTTATGTCTTGTATTTTTACTCAATATAGTCTATAAGATTTGTTCATGTTTTACATGTATCATTAGCTCCTTTTTATTTATTGTTGAGGAATATGTAATCGCATGAACACCAAGGACTCATTTGTCTGTTTTTCTGTTGACTTACATTTGGGTTGTTTCAGTTTTGGGCTATTGTGGATAAAGCTCTTATGAACATTATCTAACAACTCTCTTTGCACACGAACTTTCTTTGCTCTTGGGTGCATACATGACAGTGGGTTTACCTATTCATGAAGTTCTGAGAAACCGCAAGGGATTTTCCAAAGTGCATTTACAATTTTTCACTCTCACCAGCGATGAATAAGAGTAACAGGTCTGTTTGTCTGAAGGAGTCTTTATTTTACCTCATTCTTGAAAGATAATGTCACTAGATACAGAATTTTGGGTAGAAAGTTTTCGGGGACGGGTGTTGCTTTTGTTTTAGTTTTTGCAAGAGGCAGTTTTATTTTCTTCTGTCTTGCAGAGTCTGTGATTAGAAATTTACTGTAACTCTTTTCCTTGATCTTTGTTTTGCATCCATTTAACTATAATGCTTCCAAGTGCCTGGGTATCTGCTTGTTTTATTCCGACCTAGGGTTCTCTGAGCTTCTTGTATGTGTGGTTGTCATAGTGTTTAACTTTGGAAATTTCTTGGCCATTATATCTTCACATATTTCTTCTGCCCTGTACTCTCTTCTAATTCCACATGTGTTACGCTGTTTGCTGTTGTCCCACAGCTTAAGTGCTCTGTTCTGCTTAATTCCCCACTCTTTTCCTTTTGTGTTTCAGCATGGATAATATCCATTGACTTATCTCCACATTCACTGATTCTTTCCTCATTTGTGTCTGCTGATAACATCCATTGAAGGCATTTTTCTGTTTCCAATGTGTGTGTTTCTGGCATTTCCAATGATTCTTCTTTTACAGTTTCCATATATCTACTTAAATTCTTCATTTTCCACACATGTTGTTTACTTCTTAATAATTTCTTTAGCACACTAATCATAGCTATTTTTTAAGTTTCTTTCAGGTACTTCTATCATTTCAGTCATCCCTGGGTCTAACTCTGGTCATTGTTTCATCTCTTAACAATGGGTCCTGTGTTTTATCCCCCTCCCCATCTTTGTATGTGTATGTGCGTATGCATGTGAATGTGTGTGTATGTATATCTTCTTTTTTGGTTGAATGCCAGACATTATAGAAGAATATTTAAGACTAAAGTCTTTGTTCCCCAAAATAGGCCTTCCTCTTTTTCTGCCCGACCGTTAGTAGCATGGGGCAGGGCTGATTCAGGCTAGCAAGAACTTGAGCTGGGCCGTGGATTCTGTTGTTCTCTAGCTGGCTTCAGTGCACCAAAGGCTTCAGGGCCCTCCGTGGTGCAATATTGTGCTCCGTGTGAGGCCTGGGGTGTTCCTCTGTTCCCATTCCACCCTTCACTTCAGCATCTTTGTACACCTGTGGCACGTTTTTGTTTGCCCTTCAGAAGAAAACTGCTATTCTCGACAATCATTACTAGACTGGTATGGGGGGAGGAGAAAACTTGGGTCCCCTGATCCAGCCTCAGTCTCAGGAGGAGCTCTGAGCCTTAGATTTGGAAACGGACCTCTGTGCACCACTGTTCTTCCTTCGGGGCAGCTAATCCCTGCTTTGTATCTGTGACGGCTCCTTAGAGGGTCTAAGCCCTGCCCCCAAGTTAGCAGAACTCTGATGTTCCTGAAGTGGGTTTTTGGTACCAGAGGTTTTCCAGGGATATAGGGCTTGTTTCTACTCTTCCTTCAGAACAGTGCACTTGTGCCAGTCTCTGAGGGCAGGAGCATTTGCCCCCAACAACTGGTGGAAGGCTCTGCTCCGTATGTGAGAAGGGAAGCAAGCTGTGTTCTTGCAAGTCCTCAGTGGTGTGTGGCCATTCTCTGAACACCTGCACTGAGATGCTCTCTCTCTAGATCCCAGCTCTGCCCCCAGTATATCTCATGAGCTGCTAGTGGAAACCCAGGGGAAAGACCTACCAGTGAGTGTAAATCTCTTCTTGTCTAGTTTCCTGTCATTCTGAGCTGGCGCACTAGCACACAATTGAAGAACTCATTGAAATTAGAGCTCACTTCTCCCCTCCATTTCTGTGTTACACTTCTTCCTATGAGCTCTGCCAAAGGTGAAACCACTTTGAGCTCATCATTTTGGCCCTCTGTCCGCCGGATTCCTTGTGGGCCTCAGCGTCCGTGTGAGCACGACATGGGTATTTTATCCCACCTCCACACTATCTCCACCCAATGCCTTGAGCTCCACAAGACGCTCCACTCTTGACCAGTTGGAACTCAGCTTCCTAGCCCCATGTGAGCCCTGGGAACTGTGAAGTGTAACCTGGCCACTCTGCCCTCCCTGTGGAATTGTATACCCTGCACACATGGCTCAGGGTCCAACAGTTGACCGTGGCACTGAGGCGGCCTGTGTGCCCTCCGGGGCCCCTTCTCTTGGGAGCATCCTCCCCCTGGCACCCATCTTTGCAGATTACAGCTGCCTGAGCCCCTCTTCACCCTGCAGCCTGGGGTGTGTGTGCTCCGGGGAGGGTGACGGAGCCCTTGAAGACCTTGCCTCACTGTTCTATCTTCTCAGGGACCACAGCCCCGCCCCGCCTCATGTCCAACGGGAAAACAGTTGCGTCCTGTGTAGATGTGTTTACTGCTAGCTCATGGCAGAGGGGAGTCCATTCCCAGTTACCCCACTGTGGGCACCGTAGAAAGCCTCAGGCAGATTTTCAGCTGGCCGAGAGGTTCAAAGTATTTCCTAACTGGATTTTACTGGGTTATTTCCTCCAGTATTACCAGCCTTGAGTTTTTTTTTACTTCTTCTATTGTTCTGCATTCTTATTTGCAAACATCTAATTCTTTCATGGCTTCTCTCCTGGTATTACCTTGTCATGCAGCCAGCAGCAACCACGAACACTGCTGGCGTTCTGCTCTCCATGGTCTTCCTGCAAGGTACAAGCTGTAAAATGGATTCCCCACGTACCGTAGGCTACACCTTCCCAAATATCCTCCCCCTTGGTACCCAGTCAGATGGGTCTTCAACCTGTGAGAACGGCTTCTTTCCAGTTAAAGCAGGCCCGTGGGGCCCGCTTACACGTTGGTCAGGGGCAAGGTATCTGAGACCAGTTACCATACCCTCTGGTGCAGACCAGGACAGATGGTGTGACAGCTCACAAACTCTGGAGCCTCTCCACGTCATCCACTCACTCTCACCCAGGGGCTCAGCTCACAGAGCTGCTTACATTTGAGCCACGGCACTGGGAATATGACAGTCTGAACCAGTTCCTGGTGTGAGAAGACCTTACGCTGGGCCCACCCTCTTTTGTGACAGGCGACACCTCAGACAAGCTGCAGGAGGTGCAGCAGCCTCTGGTCCCACTCCGCCTGTGCCAGCTGCTCTACGGAGATACGTCACACGTCCTGCCGGACATGCTGTGCGCTGGGGACCTCGGGGACGTGAAGACTGTGTGCGAGGTGCGACCCACCGAGGGGGTGGGAGGCTAAGCCCAGGGATTTCGGATGTTCCGTCTGTGTTAAGTCACCTACTAGGTGGGTAGGTGGTCCCAGACAGCCCATTCCCTGCAGAGCTCAGAAGTATTATCTGCACGCAGCCATGGGTTGAGTAGGAGACCACAGGGTGGCTTATGTGCAGATGGAATGCAGGCCTCATTCAGGCCCAGTGGACCTCAGTGCAGCTGAGAGATGTCCCGGGCTCCACATCTGCTGGGGGCCATGCCTGGCACCCACCCTCCACCAAGTGAACACTGCTTGCGAGTTTTCCCCTCCCACTGGCAAGGCGGGGAAGCCCCAGACTACCAGTTTACACGAAACTCCTCTGTTTTCCAGGGCGACTCTGGGGGCCCACTTGTCTGTGAATTCAACCACACCTGGACGCAAATTGGAGTCGTGAGCTGGGGGCGCGGTTGTTCATACCCTATGTATCCTGCAGTTTATGCCCGAGTCTCCTATTTCTCAAAATGGATTCATTATCACATAGAACATACACCCATACCTCTTCAGCCGCTCCCCGCCCTCTCCTCCCCTCTGGTGGCTGCCGTCAGTGTCCTCATGACCATGTTGGCTGTCCTGTCAGTGATATAAAGGCCGAGGCCCCCACCCCAGCTTCCTCATGGCCACATGCCTCTGTCCCTACCCATCTCCGGCCCCTCAGATCTTCACACACCCGAGCAAGGTGAGGGCCACCAGCCAGGCCCACGTGCAGGGTCCAGGAAAAGGCTGAAAGGGCCACACCCAGGAAGGCAGAGGCTGGTCTCACTACAGAAGGGCAGGGGGACATGGAAGGGCAGAGCGCCTTAGCTGAGTGCTCCGGACACCTGAGATTCAGTAAGATATTAAATATTTACAAAGCAAGTGTCCCAGAAGTCCTGTGTCCTTCTTTGTGCAGGCTCCCTCATGCAGAGTGTGTTCATCACCCTGGTGATGCTGGGATGACAAACAGCAGGGTGAGAGAAGAACAAACCAAACTGCAGCGTCTCTCGAAGGGACAGCCACACATAAACTGGCGTCTGGACCCGGAGTGCCGAGTGTGACCAAAGCTGGGGCACAGGGAAGCTTGTTGCCTTAAAAACTTAGACCTGTCAATATCAAAGAGTTTTAAATACCTAAACATCCCATTTGAAAAATGGAAAACATGAGATGGGAGTAGGAACGAGAAGGGAACTAAAAAAAGATAAAAGGAGAAATCAATAGCCAAACACCAAGAAACAATGAAACTAGCATTTTAGAAGTGTAGTTTTTTTTTAATCAAAAAGTCAGAAAAGAAACCACGAACTTAATCAAAATATAATGTGAGACCAAAAATGCACAAAACAAGAAATGACAAGGGGGAAATATCCATTAAACCCAGAAAATAGGAGAAATCATCAGAGATCTTGAACAACGCTATGTAAATAAATTCAAAATGAAAAGTATTACTTTTTAGGAAATAAATAATTTACAAAAACTAACCCTAGTAGAGGCAGAAGGCTTAACTAGACCAAATTCCGTAGAAGTGGGGAAATTTCAGCAAGAACGCTTCCTCCCAGTGAAGGCCCTTGGCTGAGATGGTGGGAATCACACCTTCACTCAGTGCTCATCCCAGTGCTGTCCGTGCTGTTCCAGGCAGACGCAGGCAAGGGAGGGGCGTGTCCATATGCTCCCTAGCAGCACATATGTGTGGAAGACAGAATCTGATCACACAGAAAAAGATTAAGACAAGCCAACCTGTCGATTTTAAAAATCCTAATGAAGGATTAGCAAACAGAATCCAACATTCTTTTTAAAATAGTACACTATAGGGTTTATTCTAGTAATGCAAAGATGATTAAGTATTAGGAAGTCCATAGCTATAATTCATGGCCTTAATTGCTTTTCCAAGGAGAATAAAGTTAATGAAAAGGCTTTTAGCAAATTCAAACCCACTTCCAATTAAAAGAAAAAAAAGGAATCAATGGATAATAAGATGTGTATGTCAGCCTAAAAGCCAGCACTTTTCTTAATAGGGAAACACTGAATGAGTTTCTGCTCAACTGTGAAGTCAGGGTCTCAGAAAGTTTTCTCCTTTATCTGCTGCTCCTTAACGTTGTATTGGAAGATTGGCCACCACAGTTGCACAAGGGAACCATCCAGGGAAATAGAAGAGAGCCTTTTAAACTATCACCTGTTGTTAAAAAAAAAAAAAAAAAAACAGACTCAGAGTATAGCTGGAAGACCCAAAGGAAAACTATGAAACTATCATAAATGGTTTAAAAAAAATTCAGTTAAGTTACTAAATAAAACATGATAAAATCAGCCTATATTCCAGTTAGAATATAGACAATGGAAAAAAATATGTACACAGTGGAAAAAAAGAAAAGGAAAGAAAAATGAACAAATACAAGACAGAAACAGACTCATAGACATAGAATACAAACTTGTGGTTGCCAGGGGGGTGGGAAGGGACAGACTGGGAGTGCGAAATTTGTAGATACTGACAGGCATATGCAGAATAGATGAACAAGATTACACTGTGTAGCACAGGGAAATACATACAAGATCTTGTGGTAGCTCACGGTGAAAAAGAATGTGACAATGAACACATGTATGTTCATGTATAACTGAAAAATTGTGCTCTACACTGGAAATTGACACGACATTGTAACTGACTAGAACTCAATAAAATGAAGTTAAAAAAAGAATATACACAATGGAAGACAAGACACCAATAATAATAACAATGCAAAAGATAAGATACCTCTGGTCTTAACAAGAAACGTGAAAATTGATATAAGGAAATTTTAAAAATACTCCTGGAAAACAAAACAAAACAAAACAAAAACAACCACACACACAAAAGGAAACAGTAGATTTGGATGAATGATAAGACAGCCTACATTCTTAAACAAATCAACTCAAAATGTGTTTTTTTTTTCCTGGAGCTAGATAAGTTGATTTCAAAGTTTATATCAAAACACAAAGAAGCAAGAAAACCCTAGAATAAAATTAAATATGAAGGCTGTGGTGGGAACGAATCCAGCAGAAATCAAAATGTCCCGTGAAGATGCTGCAATCGTAACATGCCATTAAGGTTTGACAATTTGTGTCTGTGCACGCACACCAGTGGATAAAGCACTCAGAGTTGGGCCCAAGTACATGCTGGAAAATCAGCGCGTGAGAAATGTGTCACTTTAAATCACTGAAGGTGGGTAAATTTTCAAAAGTGCGGTTTAGCATGGCCATATAGAGTTGGTCCCAGAAACAGTATACATCCTGACCAAGTAGACTTTATTCTAGAAATTTAGGAATGATTGAACACTAGAATTCTCTTAACAGTTCAAAACGTAACCGAATTCATCCCATGCAACATTTACAAGACATTTGTTGGGTACTGCTGTACGCCAAGCACAGTGACGAGACAGCAAAGTGCTTTGTCTCTGCTGTCATTGGCCCTGTGTTCTGGCATGAAGTTGCGACGAAGCTGCACTCAGGGCCAGAGCAGTGCATTCCCATCATTGTGATCTATAATGTCTGCAACACCTGAGTATTTTAACAGCAACTGGTTAAGACAAACTTGAACTGCACTTGGTGTCTTTCCCTGCCTGTCCTTCATTCTCATCCAGGGCCACTGGGGATCCAGCGAAGGGAGGGTCAATATGAGATGCGTCTTCCCGCATTACATCTATTTAGGTGGTGTGCATCCCTCTGCGAAGAGGTGAGTAATTGCTAGACATCTGGGTGCAGCAACGCTGCGGGGAACACTCAGGCCCCGTCCTGTGCGTACAGAAGCACAAGCCAGAAGCTAGTCTACAAGTGAGAATTTAGTTCTTACCACACAGGTCAAGATGGAAGCTCTCTGCTGTCAGGAATACACTTCATAATACAGCCTATGCAGTGATAAACACTCCAAATATCTACTGTTTGGATGGAATTTCATGAACTAGAACTTACCCGAGTCCCTGTGTCAGATGAGCAGGAAACTGTTAAAGTACCGATCGTGGTGAAGTGGCCACTGAAGCTGAGCCCTTCATACGTCACAGCTGACCTTCATGTCTTAGCTCCTCCTCCTAGTCTGCCTCGGCAGAGTTTGCCGGTTCCTGGTGAAACTACACGCTGATTGCTGCAGATGCAGCCAAACTCCCTGGAAAGGTAAGTGTCCCAGTGACACAACTCCCACACACGTATGTCAGTGCATCGGAGAGACCAAAGTGGCAACTTAAAATGCATTTAAACTGCTCTTGTGAAAGCCTTAATTTCAGATTACTTTGTGCATTTTTTCAGTATTATTGATCATACTAAAATTCAAATAATGGCAGACAGCGAGTAACCTAGTCAAACAATGATTAAGAAAAAAAAAAAGCCAAAAATGCAAACTGGTAAGAAGAAAGCAAATGAGAGAGAAGAAAGGAAGAAAGAAAGGAAGAAAGGAGGGAAAAAGAATGAAGGAAGGAAGGAAAGAGAGAGAGAAAGAAAGAAAGAGAAGAAAGAAAGAAAGAAAGAAAGAAAGAAAGAAAGAAAGAAAGAAAGAAAGAAAGAAAAGACAAGACAGGGAGATAAAAGGAAAGAGAAAGAAAAGGAAAAAAGGAAAGAAAAGAAAGAAAAGACTTCAGAGACAAAGCTTCCCTTATTCTCATATCCAAATGGAAACTAAAAACTTTGGTGGTCAAAATCATGAAGGAAGTGAAGATAACAGCCAGGAAAACCAACTGAGAGAGGACAGAAACGCTAACAGAGGAGATGAAGCAGTTTGTGGGAACCAGGGCGCTCTAACCACAGCAGAACTGAGAGCGACAGCACGTAGCCTGAGGGCCAGCAGGTGGGAGGAGCAGGTAATTCTGATGAATCTGTTGGCCTTTGTGAGTCCTGTGTTCTTCCACCGTGATGTGGAAATTCATCAGCCCTGTTAATGTGAAAGAGTTTGTTTTTCAGGCACGACCCCAGTAATATGCATAGATAATCAAACAGAACAGACATCTAGAAGCTTCAATCAACGTTTAAAAATGGTTTTAGATGGTCAAACTTTTCAGATGTCTTGGTTACATTCTCCAAGACTAAAGTTCTCACTTACCATTTTGTTTTAAACAATTGTTTTTCTTTTTTTATTGTAGTCAATATATATAACATAAAATTTAGTATTTAGACTATTTTTAAGCATACAGTTAGTTCAGCGGCATTAAGTTCATTTACTTTACTGTACAACCATCACCACTATTCACTGCCAAACTTTTTCACCTTCCCAAACTGAAACGCTTTACCCATTAAACAATAACTTATCTCTCCTCTTCCAGCCTCTGGAACCCACCACTGCACTTTCTATCTCTATGAATTTGCTCCTCTGGGAAACTCATATAAGTGGAATGGGACAGAATTTGTCCTTTTGTGTCTGGCTTATTTCACTTAACGTAATGTTTTCAAGGTTCTTCCATGTTGTAACATGTATTAGAATTTAATTGTATTCACTATGTATTCCATCATATGTATATGCTACAAACTTTTTGTTTGTCCATTCATCTGTCAGTGGACATTGGAGTTGTTTCTACCTTTTGGCCAGTGTGAATAATGCTGCTATGCACATTTGGTTACAAGTATCTGTTTGGGTCCTGCTTTCATTTCTTTTGTGCATACACCCAGAAGTAGAAATGCTGGGTCATATGGTAATTCTGTTATTTAATTTTTTGAGGAACCACCACAGTTTTCCACAGTAGCTGCACCATTGTACTTTCTCAACAGCAGTGTACAGTGGGTCCAATTTCTCCACATCCTCACCAGCACTTGTTTTTATGATTTTTTAATGCATTCAATTGTCTACTCTGAATTCTTTCTATCATAATATCTATTAATAAATTGGATAATCAACGTGGGCTTGACAAATGAGGTTTAATAAGTAAAAACACAAGTATTTCGAAGATGATCTGTTTTCCATTATTTATAAGGGGCCCACAGTTTAGTCTATATGAAAAAATTTCCCATTTCTTCTTTTAATACAATTTTACTTTCCATTTACAGTTATTACAAAATGTTGGCTACGTGTTTTACAATACATTCTTGAGCCTATCTTACACCCAATAGTTTGAACCTCCCACTACCCCACCCTTGTATTGCCCCTCTCCCCCCTCCCACTGATAATCACTAGTGTGTTCTCTGTATCTGTGTCTGCTTTTTTATTATATTCACTAGCATGTTGTAGTTTTTAGAGTCCACATATTAAGTGAGATCATACAGTTGAGGAATGTGATTCTTCCAATTCTGTCTGACATTTCACTTAGCGTAACGCCCTCCAAGCGCACCCATGTTGCTGCAAATGGCAAAATTTCATTGATTTTTATGGCTGAGTAGTATTCTATTGTACTGCAGCTTCTTTATCCAGTCATCTGTTGATGGACACTTAGGTTGTTTCCATATCTTGGCAATTGTAAATAGTGCTTGGGATACGAACACTGGTACACATGCATCTTTACAAGTATTGCTTTTGTTTTTTTCAGATGTATACCTAGGCATGCAATTGCTGGGTCATATGGTAGTTCTATTTTTAGTTTTCTGAGAAACTTCCATACTGTTTTCCACAGTGACTGCCCTGATTTACATCCCCACCAACAGTGTACAAGGGTTCCCTTTTCTCCGTATCCTCGCCAGCATGTTATTTGTAGACCTTCTGATGACAGCCATTCTGACAGATGTGAGGTGACACCTCATTGTGGTTTTTATTTGCATTTCTTTGATGATTAGTGATGTTGAGCATCTTTTCATGTGCCTGTTGTCCACCTGCATTTCCTGTTTGGAAAAATGTCCATTTAGGTCTTCAGCCCACCCATTTTTCAACTGGGTTGTGTGTGGGTTTCTTTTATATTGAGTTGTATGAGCTGTTTATATATGTTGGCTAGCACCCCCTTATCAGTCATATCATTTGCAAATATTTTCTTCCATTCAGTAGGTTGTCTTTTCATTTTGTCAAGGGCTTCCTTTGCTGTGCAAAAGCTTTTAAGTTTAATTCAGTTAATTATTTTTGCTTTTATTTCTTTTACTTCAGGAGACAGATCCAGAAAATTTTTGCTTCAATTTGTATCAAAGAGTGTTCCGTCTATGTTTTCCTCTAGGAGTTTAATAGTATTCGAGCTTACATTTAAGTCTTCAATGCATTTATTTATGGTGTTAAAGGATGTTCTAATTTCATTCTTTTACAAGTAGCTGTCTGGTTTTCCCAGCACCACTTATTGAAGAGACTGTCTATTTTCCATTGTATATTCTTGCCTTCTTTGTTGTAGATTAATTGGCCTTAAGTGCGTGAATTTATTTCTGGGCTCCCTGTCCTGTTCCATTGATCTATGTGTCTGTTTTTGTACCAGTACCATACTGTTTTGATTACTGTAGGTTTGTAGTATAGTCTGATGTTGAGGAATGTGATTCCTCCAATTCTGTTCTTCTCAAGATTATTTCGTCTATTCAGGGTCTTTTGTATTTGCTAAATAAAATTAGTTGTTCTCATTCTGTGAAAAATACCATTGGTGTTTTAATAGGGATTGCACAGAATATGTAGATGGCCTTGGGTAATATGGTCATTTTAACAATATTAATTCTTCCAAACCAAGAACATGGTATGTTTCCATCTGTCTGTGTCATCTTCAGTTGCTTTCATCAGTGTCTTACACTTTTCCGAGAACAGGTCTTTTACCTCCTTAGGTAGGTTTATTAATAGGTATTGTATTCTTCTTGTGTGATGGTAAATGGGATTGTTTCCTTAATTTCTATTTCTGATGGTTCATTGTTAGTATATAGAAATGCAACAGATTTCTGTCTGCTAATTAAGTATCCTGTAACTTTACCGATTCATCGATGAACACTAGTAGAGTTCTGATGGCGTCTTTAGGATTTTCTGTGGCTAGCGTCATGCCATCTGCAAACTGGCAGTTTTACTTCTTCCTTTTCAATCTGGATTCCTTTCACTTCTTTTCTTTGTTTCATCGCTCTGGCTAGGACTTCCAGTACTATGTTAATAAAAGTGGCAGGAGTGGGCATTCTTGTCTTGTTCCTGATCTTAGAGGAAATGTTTTCAGCTTTTCAAGTATGATACTAGCTGTGAGTTTTGTCATATATGGACTTTATTATGTTGAGGTATGTTCCCTCTCTGCCCATTTTCTGGAGATTTTTTTTTATCATAACTGGATGTTGAATTTTATCAGAAGCTTTTTCTGCATCTGTTGAGTTGATCATATGGTTCTTATGCTTCGATTTGTTAATATGATGTATCACACTGATTGACTGTAGGTATTAAGCCATTCTTGGATCCCCGGGATAAATCCCACTTGATCATTGTGTATGATCCTCCTAATGTATTGTTGGATCTGGTTTGCTAATATTTTGCTGACATTTAGCCAAAAAAATAGAAACAACACAAATGTCCATCACCTGATGAATGGATAAACAAAATGTGGTTTATCTGCACAATGGGGTATCATTCAGCCATAAAAGGGAATGAAATTCTGATACATGCTACAGTATGGATGAATCCCAAAAACACGCTAAGTGAGAGAAGCCAGTCACAAAAGGACACATATTGTGCAATCACATTTATGTGAAATGTCCACAAGAGGTAACTCCAAAGAGACAAAAAGCAAATTAGCGGTTGCCAGGGGCTGGGGTGAGGGGACAGTCAGATTGACTGCTAATGGGTACGAGTTTTCCTTTTGGGGTGAAGAAAATGTTTGGAATTAGATGGAAGTTACACAATAATGTGAATGTACTTAATGCCCCTGAATTGTTCATTTTTAAATGGTTAATGGTTACTTTTATATGTGAATCCCACCTAACTTTAAAAAAAAAAGAGAGCGGGGGGCAGGTGTGCAGAACAGTAATAATATACACATTGCAAGGACACATTCCAATAAAAGCACACTTTGAAAAAATATAAATGATTGCCTCAGGTGGAGGGGGAAAGGGGACAGGTGTGGCAACAAATGGGCATAAAGAATTGCATAGATAAGCAAGTGAGAAGAGGTGGGCTTGCCCACCCAGGTCCCAGTGAGAAAAGAAATGAAGCAGAAGACATCCTTCCGGTGGTCGGGGGATGGCTGGGGAGCCCCCCCACCCTAAGTCTCCCAGTCTTTGGTAGCTGGACCTCTAAGCACAGCCCCCCAGAGATAGACACAGTCCCTGGGGCTGACCTTTTGCTGGCGGGCCCCCGTGTTGGGCCCACGAGGGAGAGAGACACCCAGGCCTGGGGGACAGGAGCTAAGGAGGCTGCTAGCAACACAGGCTTCTTCCTCACTCCCTGGGGTGCTTTGCAAGCCTATCCACTGTCTGTTTTTCCTCTGATGTGGGGGTACTTGATCCTCTTTCTCACTAGCCTAGTAAGTTTTGCTTGGATGCCAGTTTCCTCTGTGTGAGAATTGTGGAAGCTATAGAAGGTCTGTTGGTCCCCTCTGCTAGGCAGGCGGCGGGTGTGGTCTGATGACCTTAGTTACATGGGGACTGCTCAGGACCAAGGCTCTGTGTAGTCTGGTCACACCTCCAGGTACTTCAGAGAAATCCTGCGTGTTCCCCAACAGTCTACTCAGGCTGGCCTTGTGGCCCCCGCATCAAAGACAGCTGGAAAGTGTGTTAGCCTCTTGAGATTTTTGTCTTGGACTTTAATCTGCTGTCTGAAATTTCAGAATTTCTCCTACTGAGAAAACAGTCTTTGTCTTTGTGGCTCTTCTAGCTTGTCACCCAGTCCAACAAGCTGCCAGGACTCTGCTGGTCCCTCTTTTCCAGCCACCCACAGCCAGGCCAAGCCACAACCTAGCTGAGAGGATGCCCATAACTAGCAAGTGCCCTTGGAAAGGCCTTCCTGGTCCTCAGCTCACCCCGACAGGGCTCTCTCCAGCACACCTCCCCACCCCACCCCACCCCCGCCACTGACAGGCCTCTGTCTCCCCAGCATCACAGGACTGCGGAAACACTTACTCTGTCTACAGAGCATCTCAGCCTGTCCTCTAACACAGCTGCAGTCCTGAGAGGCCCGGCAGGGAGACAGCCCTACACAGAGACCTCCTGGGCCTCAGTGTTGCTCAGGTCCACCATGTCCATCCAAAGCTCTGCTGACCTCTGACCATCCCCAGGCCACGGCAGTGGGGGGCATGGCCCAGCAGCTTCCTCCCTGCCTGGGCCCTGGGCTTCTGCTGTCCTGGAGTCTGGTGTTGTGTCAGCCTGCCTGTGGGTTTCTGCCGGGCCAGGCCGTTTTCAGCGTTATAGAGGTCATGTTAGGTTCTGCCGGTGTGATTGTCTCACAAATGAGACTATGGGGAGGGCACCCAAGGTTTGGTTTTCTCCTTCCCCTGACACCCACCAGCCAGTCCCGGGCAGGCGCTCTCCAGGCATCCCCGCAAGTGGGGGTGGTTTTGAGGCCATCCCCCAGGGGACTGTGGAATAGACTTTTGGCCCCTGGCCTGACAAGTCTGCTGAAGAGCTACAAAGTCTAAAAATCTCACCTAGCCGCTTGTTACTTGAGAGAGAAGTGTAATTATTCTGTATGTTAACCTCCAATCCATTAAACTTGATTAACTCTCTAACAGCTACAATATTTGTCTGTAGATTCTTCTTAGGTTTCCAATGTAGGTCATCAATCATTTGAGGATAAACGGACGTGACTTTATTTCCTTTGCTTGCCTTTCATTTTCTCATCACTTCTAGCAAGGCAATGATGCTTTTATGTTAGGAAACACATACCTATAATTAACATCAGGAGAATAAAAAGACATATGAATGTCGCAAACACTTTTGGTCGAATTCAGCATGAAATCGCAATTCAGACATCACAGGCACATCCACGTAAGCCACGCTGCGCACGCAGGCAGGCTGGGTGCGGGGCCAGCTGTCAGACCAGCCCTGCCCTCAGTCCCCTCCCAGCTCCAGCTCACACCTCCAGGGACTGCAGGGACTGACAAGGTAAGCTAAGTGGCCGCTTTCCTTGCTCACGGCCTCCCGAATTCTCCCACCGCCAGGGGGCCTTGCACAGCCAGCCGGGAAGCAGGCTCCTGCCTCCCAGTTTGTCTGTGTGGGTGGGCTTCTTCGCTCAGAAGGACCTGCTGCAGGCAGTTGTGAAGTGAGTGACGCCTGCCTTGGAGGTGCTGAGTTAAGGTGGCAAAAATGGCAAGCTGAACCTAGCAGTTTCCAACTTCTCACTGTTTGAGCAGGGGACGCTTCAGAGGGGGTCCAGGTGCGCACAGATCATAAGGAGCCCAGAGGGCCTGGCTCTAGGGAGTCCCAGGACACAGCCTCCTGCCTGGTCAGGCCCCGCAGGAGCAGCTGCAGGGGTACTTGTTGGACGGGGACCACCTGGCGGCCACTGGGCCGCAGCACGTGCGGCTCTCAGGCTGGGCACTGGGCCACCCCCTGCCGGCCCCTTTGGGCAGGGGCCCTGCGGCGTGTGTGTGCATGCCGCCCCCAGCCCCTACGGGCGACGTTGTGAAGGGCCCTCAGTTCTGTGGGCTGGTGTCCAGGGTACCACACGCTCACAGGCTGCAGGATCTCTTTGGAGCCCGTTTCTGGGATTGAGTGGGCAGCTGAATCCAGAGTGGACAGGGGAGCTGCTCCCCACAAGCCTGGTCAGCCCCACCCAGCCCTTGGGCAGCCCCCAGGGGTGCCTGACCACATATTCTGGTGGGTTGTGGTGCCTTTGATCAAGGAAAGAGTTCCGTAAACAGGAGTGCCTATCTGCTCCCAGCTCACAGCAAACTCTTCTCCAGGGCATCGCTGGGCGGACTGCAGGTCTGTAAATTGAGCTGAATTTGGATGCCACCTAGAGAAGTGACGAGACTCTCCTCTCTGTGTTTCTAGGCTTTCCTGCCGAGTCTCATACTGCGCAGAACTGATGGATTTCATAGCACTAAGGGCACTGCCACCTCCTCCGGGGCTCTCCAGGTCCCACAGGCCACGCGGCTCCCCGACCCTGCCAGCGCCTTGTGGTCCCTCTGTGTCTCTCAAGGTACAAAAGGCTCACCCCGCCTGCCAGCCTTGTCACCTCCAGCCTCTCAGACAGCACATGCTCACTCCCCAAACAGCTTTACCTTCTTTCCATTTGCATCTGCCGTGGTGGTCACCAGCTGGCTGAATGAACTGTGGAGGGACTGAGTACAAGAAGAAAGGATGGGCTTAGGTGGCCAGAGCTCGCAGCAAGACTGGAAGGGATGTGGTCCTGAGTTGGCCTGATGCACACCCAAGGATTATATGCAGGAGATGATGGGCTGCTCTGAGTGGTAATCATGTCTGAGATTTTAGAAGGTCACGGAAGCTTTACAAAAATGGAGCCCCGGAATTCTTGCATTCATTCCCCTAACATCAAGCCTCTTGACGCCTTTGCATGCACAGTGTCTCAGCTCAGGGCCAAGGCCCTTCTTAGAACCAGTCTGGGCTCCTTGGTCCTGCTGGTGGCCTTGCTACTTAGTGTCTGCCTGTGTTCAGCATCCTTGTGTTCTGTCCTCTAGTCTTGAGGGATGGGTGAGTAGCTGAGCTCCTCAGACTGTGGCTTCCTGGGAGAGCAGAGGCGTGAGATCAGAGAACCCTCCGCCTAGAGACGGTAGCTAGACTGTAGGTTGAAACCACTCCTTACTATTCAACACACATAGACATAATGGGAACATAAACTGGACGTGCACCCAACCAAAAGCCAGTTGAGAAATAGCATAAAAGAAGGCACATCTAACAGACAGAAGAACTTAGGCCTTGGACTAATAGAGTCATCCCTAAATGACTTTAATTAGAATATTTAATACATTCAGAGAGATCGAGGACGGAGCAGCACCCAGGGTATAAGGACAGGATATTCTAAAGTAAACACAGATGGCTGAAAACATTAATTGGGGGAATTTAAAATATATCATCACTGAAATCTAAAAAATCAATAGTGTCAATCAAGTATTCCACAGCAGAAAAACGGCTTTCACAAGGAAGGGGAAGCGAAGACATTCCCAGATCAGCCGAAGCTGAGGCGGTGTGTCACAAGCAGACTTGACCTATAAGAAATGCTAACAGAGCATCGGGCCGCAACAGAAGGACACTGGACCACAGTCTGAAGCTGTGGAAGGAATAAAGAACACGGTCGCGGTAGATGCATAGATGAATATAAAGGCCAATAGTACTGTGTTTTGGTTTGTGACTCCCTTTATTTTCCTACATGGTTTAAGAGAGATACGCATAAAATAATAATTCTAAATCTATGATAATAGACACACGTGTGTAGAAAGGATGTAATTTGTGTGACTGCAGTAAATGCTTTAATGTGGTTGCTGATCAATTTTATGTTATGTGAATTCGACCTCAATAAAAACAAATAAATAAAATCAGTAGAAGAGCTTGTCTTGGGCCAGCCTCCCCAGGAGCAGGCGCTGAGATGAGGATTATTGCGCGGGCAGTTCATTAAGAAAATGTTCCCAGGAGAATCCACGCAGCCGGACGGGAGCTAGACAAGAAGGAGGAAAAGCTGGTGAAGGTAACGTCCAGCGGGAGGCGGCCTCAGCACGGCCCCGCGTAGGGACTGTGAGCACCACTGACGTCTCAAAGCTGTCTTGATCTGAGACAGAGCATCTGAGCTTTCAAATGCGCACCCCCAACTTGCACTGGCTGTGTTCCATCCTGAGGGACACCAACTTCCAGAAACTTTCCTCTCTCTGCAGGCTCGGAAGTCAAGGTCAGCGTGCCAGCGGGGTCACAGGTGCTGATGATTGGAGTTCAAGTACACCAGGGTCCACGGAAAGAATCCCAAGGAACTTGGGTGGTCTGCAAAGGTCTGACCCAGAGCTTCACGTCGGAACTGGCCTCACTGACAGGCATGTTAGGGGTGAGGCATTCCCAGCATGCAAAACGGATAGAAATAAAGGTTAAGAAATATGGAGGACAATGCAGAGCTTCATACTTCTAATAGCAACGTGGCAAGAAGAGAATATATAGGATGGTAGAGAGGGAAAATCTGAAGATACAATGGCCAAAAAATTTTCCATTAGTTAAAAAAGAGAAAGATATGAGTCTTCTGTTTGTTTAATCCCACTAAAGGCCAAGATGCGTATTCCTTTAAAAGTTCACTTAGACACAGCTTAGTAAAACTTCAGAAAACCAATAATAAATAGAAAAATCATAAATGCTCCAAATAAAAAGATACAAAGAAAGAGATGCAAGTTGAAATCAGACTATCTAATAAGGAATATATTGGATACCAGAAGACAATGGAGTCTTTTCTTTGAAAATTAAAGAAAAACAAATTTGAAGTTCCTACACCCGATCAAACTAGTCAAATAAATAAGAATGGATAAAAAAATATCTTGTTGGTAGAAAACAGACTATGGTTACCAAAGAGGAAGAGTAGGGAGGGAAAAATTAGAAGCTTGGGATTAACAGATATACAAAATAGAGAAACAACAAGGACCTACTGTATATATAGCACAGGGAACTATATTCAATTCCTTGTAATAAGCTATAATGGAAAAGAATCTGAAACTGTATATATATGTATTATGTATGGATACGTATATGTATAACTGATATGTATAACTGAATATACAGTTTTGCTGTACACCTGAAACTAACATTGTACATCAAATACACTTCAATAAAGAATGAAATTTAAAATCAGTCTCATCACATACGCAAGGACACATGATGTTTACTACATACAGAATCTCTCGGAAAAGTGCTACAGAACGTACTGCAATGAGAAGGAAAATGAGCCCAGAGGCTACGTTTTCTGATTACAGTGGAATTAGACTGGGAATCAGTAACAGAAGGATTTTCCAATTAAAAATCCCACTGTGTTTAAAAATTAAGAAATATACTTCGAAATAACTTTTGGGTCAAAGAGGATATTAGAAAATAGTTCAGACTGAATAATAGTGAAAATGAAAAATATCAAAGCCTGCCTTCCAAGACCTACCCTACAAGAAATGATAAGGGCGTCCCTTCAGGCTGCAATGAAGGACACTGAACGGTAGCTTGTAGCTATAAGAAGAAATAGCAGTGGTATGCTTATCAATACCTATATTGATAAGGATAAAGACCTGTTGAATTATATTATTCGCTTGTAAGTCTTCTTCTTTCCCTATATGATTTAAAAGACAAATCCATAAAACAATCATTATAAATCCAAGTTAATGGGTACACAAGGTATGAAGATGTAGTTTGTGACAATGACAACATAAAGGAACCCAGAGCTGGACAGGAGCAAGGTTTTGTAAACTCCTGAAGCGAAGTAATTAAAACTGGACTGTTATAAGTTTAAGGTGTTAATTTTAATCCTTAAGGGAACCACCAAGAAAATAACTAAAAAATACACAGAGATGGAAACTGAGAAGAGAATCAGGACAGTCTGCTAGAAAAACTCAAACAAAAGAGAAGGCAGTAATGGAGGAACTGAGGAACAAAAAAGATATGACATGTAGAAAACAAATATCAAAATATAGAAGTAAGTCCTTCTTTATCAGTAATTATTTTAAATAGAAACTGATTAAATTCTCCAATTAAAAAATAAAAACTGAGAATGGATAAAAAAAAACCCAAAAGCATAATTCATCTATATGCTATCTATAGAAGATTTGCTCTAGATACAAAGATGCAAATAAGTTGAAAATGAAAGAATGGAAAAAAGATATTTCATGCAAATATTAACCAACAAAGAGCAGAGATGGATTTACAGATGAATCAGGTTTTACAGAAAAAATATTACAGGAGAGCAAGAAGGACATTATATATTGAAAGATGTCCCAGTCCATTACATAACAATTATAAATATATATGTACCTAACAAGAGATACCTAAAATATATGAAGCAAAAGTGGACAGAATTGAAAGGAGAAAGAGACAGTTCTACAGAAATGGTTGAAGATTTTAGTGTTTCACTATCATTGATGGGTAGAATAACAGACAGAAGACCAATAAGAAAATAGAGGACTTGAACAACACTGTAGATCAACTAGACCTAACAGATGAATACAGAACACTCCACCCAACAACAGAAGACATGTTTTATTCAAATGCACATGGAACGTTCTCCAGGCTATACCACATGTTAGACAACAAAATAAGTCTTAATAAATTTAAAAACATTGAAATCATACAAAATATCTTCCCCAACCACAATGGGGTGAAACAAGAAATCAATAACAGAAAGAAACTTGGAGAATTCACCCTTGTGTGGAAATTCAACAACACATTTTTAAACAATCAATGCCCTAAAGAAAAAAAATTACAAAGGGAATTAGAAAGTAGTTTATGATGAATAAAAACAAAACACAACATACCAAAAATTAGGTATGCAGCAAAAGCAGCACTCAGAGGGAAATTTATGGCTGCAAACAGCTACATAAAGAAAGAAGAAATATCTCAAATCAATAACCTAACTTTGTACTGGAAGAAACTAGACAAAGAAGGGTAAACTAAATCAAGCTTGGAGAAGTTAAATGAAGTATAGAAAAATGGAGACAATCAATGAAATGAAAAGTTGGTTCTTTGAAAAGATCAACAAAATAGACAAATTTTTAGCTAGACCTAAGAAAAATGTAGAGAAGACTCAAACTGCTAAAAATTAGTAAGTGGGGACATTACTATGGACCTTACAGAAAT